GGGGGTGCAAAAAGGCTAAGCTGTAGAACAGAGAGATTTTGTAGGTCCCTCTGTCAGGTTCTGTGTCTACATCTGACTTGACTGTTCCCCAGGAGGCTTTGTCAAGTGATATGACGCCATCCCTACTGGACGCCCAGAGCTCACCCTCCTCCGCTGGTAACCTGGTGACTTTCCTGACACCAGTTATGACGTCACCGACAGCTCCCCTGACGTCAGAGGCGATGACGTCGTACGTGATGTCATCAATCAGTGCTGTCGGTTCGTCCCAGCCGGTGGACAGCACGTTTGTGATACGTCCTTCATTTGAGTCAAGTCTGGTGCCAACTGCGACATCGCCGGTGGAAGAATCATCGCTTCTGTCGTTTTCCTTGCTGGGGTCAGAAGATCTAGAAACTTCACAAAGTTCGGGGTCCCCAGATGTAATGCAGTCAATCGGAGCAACAACTACGTCCTTCTTGACCCTTGAACCTTCCAGTCTGCTAGAAAGTTCCGAGGTCATCTCTCAGCAGACGCTGGCAGTGTTGACCCTGTCAAGGGACACTACTGTGTTCTTGTCGTCGACGACAGCTGCTGTAGAACCATCAACAGAGTTATCTTCATCTCTGTCTACGCCACAGATCGCAGCGTCGTTTTCTTCCCTGGCGTTTTCAGACATTTCCTACGAAGACGTATTACCGACTGCCACTTCCCCCTCCCTCCTTGACTCTTCCAGTCTGCAATCTCCGATGCTCACCAAAGAGGATTCACTTCTTTTTCCGTCGTCCATGTATGCCTCAGACACACCCCAACCTTCTTCCACACCTATTGTCGTCTCACCTCTGCTTTCCGAATCGGATATGAACACAAGACAGCAATATTCATCGATTGTGACGCCACTTCCTTCGAAGACCACGGACGATTTTCCTTCATCACTTCCCACAGTTAGTCCCGATTTCTCGCCAGACATCTCACAGCCGTCAGCTGCTTCTGTCGTCCCCACTAGTGATGTCGTGTTATCTTCTCAGTCGTTACCTTCTTCATCGTTTGTGTCGTCATCATCATCATCATCGCCGGGATTCTCTGACTTGTTGACTCCCTCACTGACGTCAGAGCCTGTGGCTGTATCCTCCTCAATTAGTGTCTCACTCTCGTCACCTTTGACCCCGGGGTCGACTTTGGCCGTGTCGGAGCTGGACAGCTTGACCACAGGGAAATCCTCCTTTATTGACCTGAGTGCGAGCGTCAGTTCTGACGACTTTGGGTCAGAGGTCGTCGTGACGTCACTGGAGGGGGCAACAATGAACACGGCGTGGTCCACTCAGGTGTCTGAGACACTGACGTCATCATCGCCACTACTGACGTCATCGTCACTACTACTGACTTCACCCGAGTCATCGCCGCTGCTCCTGACGTCCTCTGACGTCACATTCTCACTGTTCTCTAACGCTGTGACGTTAGCTATCCCAGACACTTTAGCGATGACGTCATTTTCCTTAGATATTTCCTCAGAGGCTGTTTATTCATCGACGCCCACACTTCTTCTCACCGAGTCTCCCTCCCCCTCCTCCCCGTTCTCGTCTGCCGGGCCGGGCGTTTTCTCTCCCCTCACGACCGCTGTCTCTACAGCTCTTGGCTCATCCGCAGCTGCAGAGCTGTCTCCATACAGCACAGAGATGTCAACACCTGCATCGTTTCTGTACAGTTCACCGTTATCAACACCGTCATCGGTTCTGTACAGTTCACTGTTATCAACACCGTCACAATCGTTTTCATTCATCCCAGATTCCTCAATGGTCGTGCTGTCGTATTCCTCCGACCTGGATATGTCAACAGTGACGTCACCAGTCACCTCCACCAGCCCCGACTCGGCCGGTGTGGTCTCGCTGGCGTCGACGGAACAGTTTTTGTCATCCAGAGAAGACTTTTCAACCCCATTATCGTTATTGCCATCGTTATCGTCACCCTCGTTCTCGTCTAGTTTTGAGACGTCAGCCTTCATAGAATCACCGACATCAGACTTAGGAGTACCGACACAGTCGCTAATCTTTTCGCCAAGTTTTGACGTTTCAACTGTCTCGTCGTCGCCATTTTCTTTATCATCCTTTGTCGTTAGCTCGTTATTGTCGTCACCCTCAGCCCCTCTCTCATCATCCTCCATGTCTGTTGTAGATGTGGAGACGTTGACCCCACCATTGCTATTTTCTTCATCATTTTCACTGATCGTTGACTTGTCTACGACTCTATTGCCGCCGTCATCAATAACTTCCTCTTTTGTCTTCGAATCATCGACTGCACTGTCCTCATCGTTTTCCTCGTCGTCTCTCGAGGTGTCAAGTACACTCTTGCCAGATTCATCGTCACCATCGTCATCATCATCATTATCGTCATCGCCAACCATCGACACGACATCAGCCGTATCATCTCCCTCGGCAACGCCACCACAATCCTCATCACCCGTCGTTGAGCCGAGTCCCACCACGTCAAGCGTCCAAGCCCCACTCTCCTCTTCAGCTGCACCACCGACAAGCCCCGCCCCCACC